TTCTTGCAACTCAATGGCATGCGAATGTGTTATCTTATCCTTTGAGATATGTTTATTTTTCTTTTCAGATTGTTTTTTATCAACAAATGGATTATATTTTTGATCTTCATCACTTTCCACATCTGTAGCATCATTATCCTTCTTAACATTGTCCAAATATGAAGCAAATGGGTTTACATTCAATTTCAAATTCACTGAAGAAGCATTAGGTGATTCGACAAAGAATTTCCAAGAATCAGTGTCATCTGACATGAATGAGAAAATATAAGAATTGGCAGATCGGTCCAAGGGACTTTCTTTGAGTGGTCTTGGTATAGGTTCCTGCATGGTAAGTTGGGAATCTACAGGTTGTGAAGAAAGTTCCGGGATATTTAAAAAGTTTGAAGAAGATCTTTTGAACCATAGATCAGGAACTTGGTTGTCATTATTAGGCAAAGAATTTTTATTTGCATCATCATTAACACCCTTATTATTATTATTAATATTATTAATCTCATTCTCGAAAGTTGAAGCAATCTGACTTAGAGAATTATCTGTATTTGGTGACAGAATTGGTGAAATAGGATTGCTCTGATTTTCTGGCAAAGGTTTCCAGAGTGGTGAAACAGCATTACTGCCCGCTTTAGAGTCTGCTGCAACTGGATTCCAAAAGGGTGAAATTGGTGTGATCTCAGGTAGAAATCCCAACAAAAAATTCGCATTCGAAGGCACAATTTCCGGGGATGCAAGCGTTGAATCAGCAGGGGAGGTTGGATTTAGAGATTGTGCAGTAGGTGATGACATGATTTCAGAAATGGTTTCCACCGCGGTTTCCTGACCAGATGGTGATGAAAGTGAAACTCGTGGTAATGATTCTTCCGGAATTTGTAAAGTTGATGAGGGAATGATGGACGAAATTTGTGAATCATCATTTGGCGAAATTGGTGAGGTTGGTGAGACAACGGAAATTGTTTCCGAAACCATCGTTGTTTCCTTTGATGGAACAGATGACTTTGGTATTTCCCTTTCACGTGTAATTGAAACCGATTTTGATTCCGAAATAGGTTGCTGTGGTTTTGGAGATGAAGTTGATACAGAAAAGAATGAATTTGTCTCAATCTGCTCCTGCCTCGAAATCAACGATCCTTCGCCCATAGATGATTTTCCAAAAATAGGTTCAGGAAGATCAAAATTAAATGGAGAAGTTGGAGCAATTTTTGGTAGATTTTCGACCGAAAGTTGTTCAGACGGTCCGAATTTTGGTGCTTTAATTTCTTCTGTCTTTGGTTCTGATTCGGTTTTTGGTTTCAATGGCTCGGACTTTGGTTCTGAGTCTGATTTTATGGGAGAAACTACAGACGAAGAAATAGGTGACGTTAGTTTCTTTGATTCTTCAACAACTTGCTTTTCTGGAACTTTAACAATGTCATCATTAAATAACTGAGATGTTCTTGTAGGGGTTGTTGGTGAAGGAATTATAATAGGATCAGGAATGTTTGACCTCCGTTTCATCGAGCTCTTCCTTGAAACCGATTTGGTCGGATTGTATAGAAATTCGGAAGTTGATGATTGCTTTGTAGAAGGTTCAGTTAGAAGTGTTGATTTCGACGTCGAATACGTTTCAAACGGATTATCATCGGTATCCCTTCGTTTGAGGTTCGAAACCAAAGTATTTGATATCGCGTTAGATAATGGCTGCGAAATCGACAAAGGCTCGATTGTTTGATTTCGTCTTATAGGAGACATTGGTTTTGGTGATGACGATTCTGATGATGCCCTTTTAGTCGTAGGATTCGCTGTTGTCGGTGACGCTGGCGGGGAAGTCACTTTTTCAAATCTGGACACGAGGCTTGATACATTTTTTACTGGTGGCAAAGATTCGCGTTGAACCATTTGGCTCGCTGCCTTTGCCTTGCTTAAGGCGTCACGTGGTCGCAATTGAACTCCAAATTCTTCTTTGAAAGTATCAGGTAATGACCTAAGAGAGGATGAGGGGGAAAAGGATTTTTTGGAACTGTCATTATTAGAAGCAGAAAATGAACGAGTCACGTGACTCGTCAACGTGTCAAACTTTGATGATTCCACATCTTTTAAAGACGAAGCCAACGTCTCACTTATCGACTTTTGAGATTCATTATTACTATCATCACTTAAATTTTGTATCGATCTACTTGTAATTATAACTTTTGAAGAATCAGTTATTGTTTTGTGTAAAGTTGGAGATAATGGTGGAGAACTTGTAGGCGTATTACGAAAACTCCTTTGCCTTGGTGATAAAGGTGGAAAGTAAGAATCACTTCTCGGAGATGGAGGCGTAGATGTGTTTGGAGATAAAGGACGAGATTTTGACACCGTTTCTGCAACAGCCTTTTCTTTCTCTTGTTGTTGAGCCCAAAATTTTATCAAATCATTTACAGGTTTTGCAGGCGGTTTTTTAGGATTAGACATTTTTTTTTTATATGTATATCGACGTTATTATAATTTAAGAATTATTATTATTATTATTATTATAGCTTTTTTTTTTCCAATTATGTTACTGTATCGTTAAGGCTAGCTTTCGAGACAGAATTATGTAATGATTATTTATGATTATTAATTGAATGTCGAATTCGTTTTTTTTTTCCTTTCTTTTTGCAATAAATTAGATGCTATTATTAATGTTGTTCGTTTCAATAATTTTTTTTTTTCGTGTATTGTTTATATTTACTAATGCGCCAAAGAAGTATTAGATATTCTTTACGCTTTGATTATTCCTAGAATAATAAAAATTAAAATTCGGTAATAATGGTATGCGAGGAATAAGGCGTGAAAAGGAAGGCGTGAAAAGAGAGGAGTGAGGAAAAAGAAAGACGAGGTTAAAAGGGGGGGGGGGGGGGAGACAAAAAAAAAAAAAAAAAAAAAAAAAAAAGGAAAAAAAAATAAAGTCAGAGTAAACTTTTTTTTTTATTTGTATTTTTTTTTTTTTTTTTTATTTTAATGAATAAATGAATTTCTTTTTTTTTTTTTTTTTTTCGAGGAAAAAAATTGAAGTAAATTGATCTATTCCATAACTAACCAAAAAAAAAAAAAAAAAAAAAAATTTTTAAATTAAAGGAATATAAAATAAAATGAGACCTTTTCAGATATATATATATATCTTACTTTCAAAAGGGTAGAAAATTGAAAGTAATTTGTCTTTTCAAAATTTGGGAAAACAGAAAGTTGAAAGACAGAAAAAAAAAAGAGAAGGAAAAAAAAAAAAGAAAAAAAAAAAAAAAAAAGGAGTGAACGTGCAAAAAAATATTAGTTTCTTGTATAACCTTGCTTGTACCTTTTTACACAATTAAAATGAATGGATTGTTTCCTTTAAAAAAAACAAAATAAAAACTTTAATAAGTTGTCGCTCGAGATGAAATGTAACGCATAAAAGTTCGCTTCAAGTCGGTCATTTTATGTATGATTAATTGGTTGCAGTAGTTTGTTCAATAATTTTGGGAGGATAATCAAGGTGAACTTCCAAAATGGTCATCGTGCCGTATTGTTTACAAACTCCAATTAGGAAATAAAGTTATATTACAAGTCATGTGATGAGACGCGGTGTAAACTTACTACTTTCATTAGAAGTTTAAAATCAAATATTTACAGTTATGCACGACGGCAGATGAACGTTCTGAGTGGTTTATTTTTGAATTTGTCATTATTTGATGATCAAAAATATTTAATTGAATATGACCCCATTCAAACATCTTGAAAAGTTGCCAACACATACCACGTTTATTTAATTTCAACTTTCTTTTTTATGATTATTTGATTGCATTGGCGCAGCCTTTCAATGTGAATATAAAAATTCGCTTGGAAAAAGGGTTCGACCTTTTTTTTTTTTTTTTTTTTTTCCTTCTTTCTCGTTACAAACGTGATAAGGAATTTTTTTCGAGAAGAAAGAATTTTTTTTTTTTTTAGTATCATTGTTTATTATTATTATTTATGGACGTGTAACGCAAAAATTTAAAATTAATTTCGTGTCAGTGATAGAAGTAAAATAAAAATTCTTTTAATTTAATAATTATTAAAAATGAAACATGAGATAAATTATTACATATTCATGTGAACCACTTATTAGTCATTTAACTTACTTTTTTGAACCAAACGGTGAATTACATTATTTACACTTGATTTTTATGCAAAAAAAAGAAAATTTTACGAGTGAAGTGGTGACCTTATGAATGTTTGAACAATTCAAAAAAAAAAAATAAAAGAAAGAAAGAAAAAAAAGAACGAGAAAGATGTTCCATAAAAAAAATTAACAATCTTCTTGCTCGGTGGGATGGCAATCGCTGCGGTCCTTCGTACGATCAAAAAAGAGAGGCACCACTGTAAGAATTATCAAACAAAACATGCACTGCACGCCATTTTTCATTTCACAAAAACTTTGTTTTCGTAAAAAAAAAAACCATGATGATATAAAATTTTCGGGAATTTTCTAAACCGAAAGGAATCACACCGACCGATCTCATTGGACAATGCAAGGGTTGATATTGTTCTTGGCTGCAGTTTCCTTTTATGATCCTAATTTATTACACAAAATCTTCGAATCTTCTCAAAGAAAAGGTTAGACAATCATCTTTGTAAGGGTTTTGGGCGTTCGGAATTTAGCGGATTTAGCTAATCTAGTATAGGAATTAAATGATCACAATTTCGAGATAGTTCACTCTATAACAATAAAATTATTAGGGAAAGTCATTGAATTAAAAAAAAATGGAAAAGGAAATTTGAGCTAATGAAAAAGAGAAATTTCGACCTAAAATGAATTTGTTAATGAAATTGATTATAATAATGATAAATGATAAGAATGTTCAACAATCAAAATTTTGTTAAAGTAATTAGATTCATTAATTCTTCTCTAAACATCTAAATTATTCTTCCATTTAACTTGCAAGATTATGCAACACTCGGCCAAGCATGGCTGCGGTTTGAGAATCATGATATTAAAAGAATAAAAATCCATTTTGTTAGTCTCAAAGGCCCTTTAGCTGATCGATAGCACAAATGATCGATTATTCGTGTATCGCCAGAAAGTTAATGAGACACAAAGTAATAGAGCAATGATTTTCTGATTTGCTAACAGGTGCATGGCATATTGGGCTAAGATGAACATTTCATAATCAAATCAACTAACCTTATCCATGCCAGCCACTAGTGATTCATGAATTCTCCCGTCAAGCCTTTAGCCAATATCGGAGCCATACCCCTTACTTCTTCCGCGTCGTCAGTAGAGGTTGATCGTTTTCTATTGTACAAGTCTGATTAGTAACGCTCATATTTGCGGTGCTCTTACCATGACATAACCTCACATATACTGTAACTAAATGAATGCTTTCAAAAAATTAACTTTAAAATAAAATAAATAAAAATTCAATAAATTTATATCATCATCTCTATCAAAGATGCATAATAAATGTTCCTTATTTCCGCCAATGTTACGCATGATGTAAAGCGTATCGACATGTAATGAAGCATGTGAATGCGCAAATTCATTAGACGTGTTTTATTCGTGTTTTATATTTGAGCATGACTTCGTTGCTTTATAAGAATTTTGATAGTATTTTTTTTTTTTTAATTTAATGAATGGTATGAATTTTTTTTCCTAAATATTTTGACCTTGATGAACTTTTTTGGACTAGCGTTTGATCATTTATTATTGCTTATATTGAATTGAATAAAATGATATAAAGTTTTAATACATAAAGCATGTATTTCTTTTCGATATTAACTTGTTTACAACTTTTTATAGCCATCAATGTAAAAAAATAAAATAAAATAAAATATATAAATATTATACATGAATATTAGCTGTAAAAACATTGAAGGCAATTGGCTTTGTATGCAGGAAGATCGATTAAATACTTCCAACATAAAAAATAATTGTAAAATTAATTAATTTAATTGATTTATTGTATTTATTTGTTCGCATTATAATTCGCTTTATAAATGAAAATGTATATACTGTAAACAAATATTAAATGTTAATTTATTAAAGTCAAAATATTAACACAAGCGCTTTTCTGAATTTTTAGTAATATCGCAGCATGCGAATTATAATTTCCTAAGAGCTTGGAATAAAAGTTTTTACCTGACTTCTTAAATCATTTAAAATCACTTTTTTTAAATATCTCATCGGATTATCGATCATTAAAATTACTTCATCTAAATTATTTTGATTTATCTAACTAGACCATTCTTTTAATAAGGAATTGTCTTCCGCTATAAGCATTCAGCCGAGTTCATTCTCTTGGTCTACTTAATTGAAATAATTTAGCATTGCATTCTTTACACCAATCGTTACTAATTTCGTGTCATTAATATCATACCTTTTAAAAACATACGAAGGACTATTTACATATAGAATTATTTTTTCATTGAAAGACCTAGCTAAAACGATCATTGGTTGGTTGTATTCATCCATGTTACATATTTTTTATATTAAAGTTTTTTACATTCATTTATTTTACTTCGAAAAAAAAAATCCCGTACCCTTAACTTTTTGAACAATCAAATCTTTTAATTCGATTATTAGAAATTAAATTCTTGAAATTAAAAAAAAAAAAAAAAAAAAGATGATGCGAAGCGTAAGTGCACTAAAGTTTTTATAAGTTTTTTCCTAACCATAAAAAAAATTGTACTTTTTTGAAAATAAATCGTCATTTCTTATACGTACGCGTTTGGTAATTTTAGAATAAATTTGATTGGCTAGAAAATCTATAAAATGGTTCAACGATAATCTGTGGTTGGTTGAACTTTAATCTCAGAAATCGGAACTTTGTAGTATAATGGTAAACATAATTTTTACTCTTTTAAAAAAAGATAAATTCCTAACAAAATCTTTGGTAATTTCTTTTTTTCATTTTACATATATTTACTTATAATACTTTCAAGAAATGCCGGTTACAACCAAGCCACAGAAAAATGCTACAAATCCTTCAGAACTTTCATTAACTTATCTAAAATCTTTAACAAATATAGAAGATATACAAGAATGTCTTCGATTATTAGACCTGGAAGAAAATCAAATCGATCTTAATTTAGATGAATTATTAGAGAGCAGGCCAAAACTTGAATCTGAATTAGATAAATTAGAAGTTTTAAGGTTGGGAATTTTTTTTTTTTTTTAAAAAAAAAAAATTGTTTTATTTGATTAAATTAATTTTCTAATTAATTTTAGGCCACAATTAGGTACTTTACATACACAAGCTGCAAATTTATTAAATATCATAAACGGTACATCGTCAGTAGCGGAACGTATCAGCGCACAAGTACGACAATTGGATTTAGAACAAATCAGAGTTCAAGAATCAATAAAACAAGTTGAAGATGTACAAGAATTAAAACTTTGTATCACGGGTATACATCAGGCGTTGTATATGAAGGATTATGAAACTGCTGCTTCTTATGTTAATCGGGTTTCAACACTAGATGATACAATACTTTATGGAGAATTCGCTGAAACTTCTGTACCTTCATCTGATTATCCTGATATACCTACGAAAACTTTACATGATGCGAAAGAATCCCTTTTTACTATTTTTAGTAGGGAATTTGAAGCAGCTGTTAATAATAGAGATCAAGAGAATATAAGTAGATTTTTCAAGTTATTTCCTTTAATTGGAAAGGAGACGGAAGGGTTGGACAAATACTCAAAATTCGTTTGCAGTATCATCGCTGGGAAAAGTCAAGCAAATTTGGCCGAAATCGGTAAATTGAAAGTTGCAATTTATATTATTTTGTTTCCCAAGATTTTTTTTTAATTAATTAATTTTTTTTTCTTTTCGGAAACCTATAGCCGTGGGAACGAATTTTTATGGGAATGCGCTAACTAAACTTTTCGAGAATATAGCGCTTATCATAGATCAACATCAACCTGCTGTAGAAACTCACTATGGTCCAGGAAAAATGATTAGAGTTGTTGAAAGACTCCAAGAAGAATGTGATAAACAAAGTCGAATTATTTTGAATACATTTTATGATGAAAGACAAATTCAACGTAAGGTTTTGGATATTCAAATATATAACGATACACCAAAAAAACCACCTGGTTCACAAAGGTCTGGACAATCAAGAGAATTCGATATTATACCAGATCAAAGAGAACTTGATGTTGCGTTATCAGAGTTGGCGATGATTAGTGCTAGAACTCACTTGTATTATCGATTTATGGAATCAAGAGCAAAGGTAAATTCAAATGTTTAATTGGAATCTCAAGATGGATTTCTAACAATCTTTTGGTGATTTTTAGTTAGAAGTGAAGGCGATGCAGGTTAATGGGACTGATGTTTCTCTCCTTGAAAAAGATGCGGATAAATACGATGCATCAGTGATAATTAAAACGAGCGGATTGTCAAAGCAAATAAAAATGTTGATGAAAGATTTTATAATTTTGGAAGAATATTTCTTTAGAAAGGCTATTGAGAAGGTAAGATTATATTAATCGAAAATGACGAGTATTGGAACTAGTTTTGCTTACAATTATGTATTTTCAAGGCCATGAAAATAGACAACTATGAGGAAGGAAGTTCAACATCAAGTTGTGTTGAGGATGTGTTTTATATTCTTAAAGAATGTTTATCAAGAGCGGTGACAACATCCGATGTAGAGTGTTTAACCTCAATGGTCAATTTGGTCAATCAAAGTTTAGAAGTTGATTATCTTGCTTTATTCCAAAAAAGACTTTTAACTGCATTCGCAACTTCTGAACCAAAAGATGCCAAAATTGGTTACATGGTATTTATTTTGTCCTTATATTTTACAATTTTTACGTACAAAATTTGTAATCTTTTCTTTGATTTTTTTTTAGATTTTACTAAACAATTTAGATGTTAGTTGTGATTATATGCAAAGACTTACGTCAGAATTGGTAATGATTCCTTCGATCATGGAGGAAGATTACGAGAAGATTCAGAAAAGTTTTACTTGGTTGAATAATACTACTACGAATAAATTTAAGCAACTACTACATGTAAGCGTAACCTTTTTTTGAGATGAATAATTTAATATTCTGTTAACTTATTACATCATTTTTAGAGTGGACTGGAACAACTTTTCACACAAATGGTAAAACCAAGGATTAGACCTATTTTACAGGAAGCTTATAAGGACATTAAGTATGTGTTGGATGAAGATGAATATCATGAACAAGATGCAAATGATAATTTTACAAAAAGGTTTGTGGCTGGATTTGATAATTTGGTCAAAATTTACCAGGTGAGTCATTATTTTCATAAGCTCTTATATATGCGCGAGATAAGAAAAGGTGTAATTCTTATTATTTTGATCCAGATAACATTTACATCAAACAATTATAACCAAATTATGATGCATATTTTGGAATCTGTTACTAATATGTGGGAAAAGACCGTTTTTGGTACAAAATTCAATCAGGTAATTTGAGGTTATTTTGAAAAAATACTTAAAGATGCGATTTCTTATAATTTATTCTTAATCTTGATAATAGTATGGCGCGTTAAGATTTGATAAAGACTTAAGGTCTGTTAGCAATTATTTTTCAGTTAAAATGCAATGGCCAATTAGAGACAAATTTACGAGGTTAAATCAAATTTCAACATTACTCAATTTGGAATCTGTAAGAACATTTAATTTTTCTCCTATAACTATTTTTGATAAAAAGTACAGAAATTAATTAATTATAATTATTCAAGTTATCTGAAATCCATGATTATTGGGGAAGTGCAACTAAGGCAACAAGTCCAATTACGTGGAGGTTGACTGTTAATGAAGCAAAGAAAATTGTCGGATTACGGTAATCATGAGATTTTCTTGGTTTATTATTGGTTTATTTTGCTAATAAAATCTTTTCGTATTTTATATTATAGGATTGATTTTAATGCTGAAGAAGTTTCCGCATTAAAACTTTAACTGAGTATAAGTTTAGGCGATACGTTATATAGTTATTTTTTTTCTGAAAGCTTTTGTTTAGATGTTATTTTAAACAATTTATAATATTAAAAAACTTTTTATTTAATGTTCCAACCTCAATTTTCTTATCGATGACTCATATTCTTTGATAACTAAGAAAATTTGATCATTTGTAAATGAGAACTTTTAAATAAAGGGAATTTCTGATTTTTTTTAATATATAAAGTTTTTAGGTTGCTACTTTTTCTCCTGTTAAATTAACATCACGATCAATTGTACGGTATCTTCTAGATTTAAAATATTATTGTCTCTATAACAATAATTACATTTAAGTTAAAAATTTAAATATGTATCTTTTTGGAACAGCCATTAAAAGAAAATTAAATGAGATAATGCATATATAATAAATATTCGACTTGAGAAAATGAAAACATACTTAATAACCATATACTCGTGTTTTTCATTCTTATCGTTATTTCTTGTCAAATTCAAAAGAACAAAAAATGTAAATGTGCATTTGTAAGAAATTTTCTATTAAAAATGTTTATTAACTTTATTGCCGCAGAATCTTTCTCACTATTTATATTCTAACTCCTTTTATTTGTTAATAAAAAAAAAAAAATTTCCATGTATCGAAAGATATAATAAATTGTATATATTTTTTTCTTTTTTTTTTTTTTAAAAAAAAAAAAGTAAATGTGTCGCAAATAAGTTATCATGATAAAATTCCTTTTTCTTTTGTTGAAAATCGCGGTTCACGAAAGATTAAATGTTTCTTGGTCTAACCGGATATAAGATGGTTGCTTTAGAGATAGTATACGATAGACATTTAATAAGGTCGTTTTCTTTGCATTGTTACATATCATGTTAATTCATACTAAATATCATATTCCAATGCTCTTGTTTTATAAGATTCATCCTCCAATAATTTAAATTTTTTATTGCCTTCATCTATGAAATCATTTAATTGCATTTAATTGAGGATAGATTTTCTGGAAACGAATATAACAACAAGAATTATATCATACCGTTATTATTTTCAATATGATCACTTTCAAATTTTCGTTTACCTTTTTAAAAGATTAATTAATAATGTTCTTAAAACAATGATTTAAAGATCTAAAAAACAAATAATTACCAAAATCTGAAGAAATGGATTGACTTCGTATACTTCTTGTGGATTCTGCGGATTTTATCATGCTACTTAAAAATCTACTCTTATAAATAGCGCCTGGATTGTTTGTAGTTATAGGTCCAATTTCTGATGATTCTAAAATTTCAGTTGGATTACTATCTTCAAGTCTTCTAATCTTCCAAATTCTATTATCAATAACTCTGACTAATGGCCTTTTACTTGGATCAGGGTCCCAGCATTCTTTCATTATTTCAATATAACCTTTAGGTGCGTTTATATCACCGATTGGAGGACGTAACCCATCACAAATATCAATAATCAACTCAGTATCATGAGCACGATCCCAAAAAGGTCTTCTACCTGTCATATACTCCCACATAATCATGCCAAAGCTATATATATCTGAAGTTGTGGTGTATTTTTGTCCTTGAAGAATCTCTGGAGCCACATAAGGAATGACTCCATAGATTTCATTATATTCAGCTTCAGTAGCAGATTTACTTAATCCTAAATCACCTATTTTAGTATCATCAGCACCTACCCCTACCAAAATATTTCCACTATGAAGATCACGGTGGATAATACCATTGTTATGAATGCTATGAAGGCCATTTGCAATATCATTTAAATGATTTAACTTAGTGAACCAATTAAGATTATAAAACTTTTCAGCTATATAACGAATCAAATCTCCCGAATCACAATAACTCATAATTATCACAAAATCTTTGG